ATTTGCGCGCAAAACTTCAAATAAATCTATCGCCGTCAATATTGCTCTAAAAAATTTTTTTTTCGCGTAAAATTCATTTTTTGACACGCGTGTTCCAACCAGACTGTTTAAAAAAAACTTTTTTTTTCTTTTCAGGGTCCCTTTAAGGAAGGCATTCAAATGACTCCGCCATGTTATAATAAGCCTCGCCTTCAAACCCGCGTATGCGCGCGATAAGAATAGAAGATTGTAGCATAACAACTGTCGCTTCACACCTGTTCCCGTTAGCATATGGGTGAGCCTCGTGCTCAAAATCCTGGTTCCTGGACTCAATCTTTTTTGAGGGAACTTGGAATTTTGTTGTTTCTTCTCAATTTATGCACTTATCGCCCTACCGCGCATGCGCACTCGTATCGTGTAATTGAAAGGGTTTTTGCTGGGAAGGTCGAGGAGAAAAGAAATGTAATCGCATGAATTAGGAGAAGACGCAAAGACGTCAACAAAAGTATAATGTGTTTATCGTTTTGATTGACGGGTTAATCTTCTATATTCTTCTGAGAGGAGAATAGCGACGCCTATGCAAATCCGAAAGGCACAAAAGAGGATCCTCATAAGAGGGGAGCTCCTTCTTGCCCTCGTCTCTAGTGGTCATCGGAGCTCTTTAAATGGCGTGACGTGCAACCCATGTACAGGCACTCTACATGGTAAATGGACGGATGTCACTGAACCGTTTGAATCGGGCGATATCTTGCGCCACCAATAGCCCTATATTCCGTTTTACCTTGCGTCCGTCCGCAGCGGACGCTACGGGTCATCCCAACCAATCCAGTTCTGTAGACTTAGCACGTTCTTAGACTTAGCATGCTCTCCTTGCGGCACGTCGCTTTCTCTAAAAGCTAGCGTAAACTAGGGCGACCTTAGATTGGCTTCGATGGTTCATAACATCCACTGAGGCCGGACGAAAAAAGTGAAAGCCGTTTACAACTCCCTGTAACGCCGAATTGGAGCGCAGGTCTTGAGGAGGAGGAGGGAAGGGTACTGAGGGGAGGGTACACCCCTCCACCTTCTCCTCCTCCTCCCCTCATTCTTTAATATGCTCCGGGGGGGTCACTTGACCTCGGGGAGGCGTGACCTGGGGGGTCACGTGACCTTGGGGTGTCACGTGGGGGTCACTTTGGGGGGTCACGTGACCTTGAGGTGACCTTGGGAGGGGTCACGGGACCTTGGGGGTCACGTGGCCTCGAGGGGTCACGTGACCTGGAGGGGACACGTGACCTGGAGGGGTCACGTGACCTTGGGGGAGGGGACCACGTGACCTCGGGGGTCACGTGACCTTGGGGTGACCTTGAGGGTCACGTGACGTTCAGGGGGTCACGTGACCTTGGGAGGGGTCACGTGACCTCGGGGTTTCACGTGACCTGGAGGGGTCACGTGACCTTGGGGTGACCTTGGGGGTCACGTGACCTTAGGATGACCTTGGTTACGCCGACGGCGACGGCGACGCCTCTCAAGCCGGAAACGGGCGCCTAAGAGCTGCGCTCTAAAATAAAAAGGGGGCATTACACCTCGCTCGACGCAGCGGCGAGCGACGGATTGTCGGGAGCTGTAGTTTCATTATCGCTGTTGCTATTATTTTCACCATAATTTGCCATGTTATGAACGTAACAAGCGACAGAAGCTTTACAGTTCACAGATCTGGCTGCGGGTGGCGCAAGATTCTACACATTCAAAGTCACGATGCGCGTGCCTTACGGGTTTCTGTCGAGTGCATCCAAGAACATGGAAGCATGACTGCTTTGTTCGAGAAACAAGAAATAACTACATTCTGCAGAAATAACTTGTTGGTGTGCTCTTCTCAAAGCAACTGCTTCATTATGATCCTACACATGTCATTGAGGACTATCTCGCCATATGAACGGCGTAACAGAGCAGAGGTTTTCGCGAGCGGCACTGATATTCGACGAATGAAATTATTTAAAAAATAAAATACTAGAAATTAGGGGAGTCTAATAAATATATTCTGTCAATCACTATGTCATTCAAATTTTAATCTCGTATATTCTCGCACCCCTAGTATTTATCTGAGTGGTGTTTGCATCAGAAAGCGGATAACATATGTACAGTGTTTTCCGGGCAATAGCCCGCAACAGCCCATTTAACCCTAAAACGACAGTTTTTGCTTAGATTGTCTACACCCAGTGCATATAGTCCGCACGCCGTGCATAGTTCGCACCATGCAATTAGTCGGACACGACATTCTTTTCATACACTGCACACCTTGAACAAAGTCTGCTTTCTAAGCTGACAAAAAAGCTTGTATTATACATAAATCACGATTAACACATTTCATTCACAAAATTTGCTACGTCTCGTCATAACGAACGATCTTAAGAAAACAAAATTCCTATATTCCGCTCGCGTAGGTAGTCCCCAAAGCATGAAATTTCAATTTTAAAAAATCTATAGTCTGCGGACTATAACCCCAAATATACGGTAACAACAGTGCGTTTTCATAAAAAAATATTAACCTTTAGTTTTTTTTTAGCTCACTTCAACGGCACGTGAAAAAAGAAATACAGCCCTCGTATTAGTTTCAGTACTTGCATCATGCGTCATTGGTCCTGATATCCCAATTCTCCTTTTCGGATATTTGTAAGTAACCTGGTGTTATGGACTGAGATGTACAAGGTTTGTTTATATATATGAAACGCCTGATGTTGCGAAGAAACGTACCACTGGGTGTGATTTGCTGCTTTTGATACCTTATGATCCTGGTGTGAAAAAAAAACCCAAACAGCAAACAAACATTCCACACACAAAATTAGCGTATGCAGTTAATATGATCATACGTACTTGGAAGCATACCGACGGTTTCTTGTCCTCCGGTTCTGTTTATATCAGCTACGATTACGGTGACATTTTCCCGAGCGAGTCCCATAGCAACACTCCGCCCAATGCCACTGGCCGCACCAGTTACAAGCGCCTGTCGACCGCCTAATTCGAGTGACGATGTTCCAGCATCGTTCATTGGCTTTCCGACATCTGGGTCGCTGTCACGAAAATCAATATCACTGCTTGACATACTTCCAGTAGCTAAGCAGCCAAAGAAAAGGAAGCAGGCAAGTTTATGGTTATTTAACATGCTGCTATTTTGAAAGAAACGTGGACAAGTGTCTGGGAGTAATGCCGCCAGGTTATATACACCGATAATTTTCTTTAATTTTTTTATATTTCATTCAAACGTGTGCGCAAAACAAAAACAAACATAAATTCTTATCGAATATCCGATGTATCGCAAATGCCAATAGAGGTTTTTGCGCCCACGTGTTTTTCGCGGAAATTATACGAAATCTTGCTTTCACGGAGCAGCTGCGAGGCTTTAAGTGTACATACGCAACAAAAACAGATGACGACGTTGCATTTCCCTTGCGGCAACTCGCCTCGGTAATTGACATGCCGCGAACACGTTGATTCAACATGTAGTTAAATGTAGTAAGGTGGTAGGCTGGACGAGTTAGTAAACGTTAAATATGATGAAAAATTGCGCACGAAGAGACAAGTACAAAAGATAAAGGAACAGAGAACAAACAAACAAATTTATCGTTAGTCGTCTTATACAGCAGGAATTTAGTCCGCGAGAAGATGGCGACATTGTTACCCAGTGTAGATGATCAATTTAGAAAGTGCAGCGCGGCTGCTAGCCTGGGGTCTTAAACGTGTACGACGCCGTAGGGATACGCAACGGCACGCCGGTACCATGCTCATCCAGTTCGAAAAGGGCAGAGTTGTGGATTGATTGTGGGACCCCTGGGTTCTGCAACGCTAGCTTTCGGACCACGAGCTCCGAGCACACTCGGCCACCGAACTCCCTGAACACAACATATACAGGCGCGTACTCATAACTCTGATATAATATGTGAAGAAGAGAAGATGAGTTACTCATAACAGAGAACACCGGCACCAGTGGAAACACAGTTCAGTCGCAAGGATCGTTACTAGAGGGGTCACTTTGGGAACTCGAGCGACATCAGCGGAGGAGCGCGCTCCGCAGCGGTAGCTGGCGAAATGGTTGCGGTGCCGTCGCTGTGAAATTAAAGCCCCTTGATAAAGGCATTTCCTACAAGTAGCGCCGACCAGTGTTGCAAAAACGTGCTAGACACGTGCCAAGAGTGGACACATATCAAGGTTCCTTATGGCAGTTCAGTTCTCACTACGCAGCGTTGAGTGATCCACCAAACGTAGGTGCTCATGTCTGTTCGGGGGATGTCATCGTCGTCTGCTTCGGGTCCATTTGTAACAGTCACACCATAGGTGGTGACAGAACTGGCTGCAGCCCGAGCTCCGCTTCGATCGGTGGGGGCCTTCGGTTTGTTGCTCTTCGTCGTTGGTCCCAAGAGATGTGCGGGGACATTAGGGAACAGACATGGTACAGCAACTTTTTAATGCCCATTGGCGCTTGGCTTTAAAACCTTATTCTTTTTACCTCGGAAATAAGCTGCTACGTCTTTCTATATAAGTAAGTGGGTAAGTATGCTGCTCAGTTTCCTGGTTCCGTCATGGCCTACGCCAACCAGCGACGGGAATACTGTCATCGGCTGCAACATTACATCATTTACTTCCGTGGAACCTGCTGGAAAAACGTACTCGTCATCAGAAGCCTACTCTTTGTGGGTTTGCCGAAAACGTATCCACTGCGGAGCCACTTCCTACTGTGCATTAAAAAAAAAAAAAAACACCCTGTATATATATATATAGAGTGGTGACTTTAGGGCACTATTACGCTTCTCACGCGCACAAAGTACTTCTGAAAATTTCTGATTTAGTGGTTTTCGATGACGCTGAGCAAGTTTATAATTGGAACCAAATGTCTATTTTCATTATTTAAAAAGTTAATTAACGAATTTAAATTAATTAGCCGACTGATCGTTACGATTAGCCCCTTAAGTATGTCCCCCTGGCCGTGTAACTCACCTGCACAAGCGGCATAAGTGTAACTTTCACGGCTGTTTTTAAACAAACCATCACCTCCCCGCGTAGTATACCGATGTATAAAAAATTTGAGAGACACCCTCGTACATTCGCGCACAACGCGCGCCCAGTCTTCGGGGTGCAGCCCATGTGGGAAACCTAAGTGCAACGTGTGCCCCCACATGGTGACGACTGATACTGCCAGGAGTACGAAATCCAACTTTAGCATGAAAATTCACGGAGATCTCCGGTGCTGCAGTCCATATGTCGTCTACCTTCTCGACTGTCAGGTGTGTAAGATGCAGTACGTAGGACAAACCATGAGAGCATTGAATGAAAGGTTTAATAATCACAGATCCCACTCCACCAAAGTGCCCAGCCTTCCACTTTCCAAACATCTAACACAACCAAACCACTCATTCGATAAACTTTCTGTAACGTTGCTTCAATCTGCCTTTAAATCAAATCTAGAACGCGAACTGAAAGAAGTCCACCTGATCTATAAGTTTGATGCTGTAAAATATGGAATTAAAGAAAGTCCTGGGACACCCACTTGTGTTCAGCTGTTGTGAATGTGTTGTGCGAAGATTTATTTCACACTGCGATTTTTGGTCAACTTCCGAGTATAATAGTGGTGCCCCATTGTCGCGGATGACGTATGAGCCGTTTGCGGCGGGACTCGCGCTTTATCTCTGGGAGCGCCGGTTCTGCCAGCCGACGACGCGGAGCCTCCCCGGGGCAGTGCGGCGCAGCTTGGCGCTTACCCATACCGGACAGTAGTTTTCTGCGACGAGTTGGTCGCCTTAAAGGGGTACGGAAACAAAAATTTAAATATTCAAATTTTGTTCGGAAATGAGTCAAGCATGACGGATAATAACCGTAAATGATAATCGCACGTTTGTATTTTGAACGATTGGCTATAGTTTTCGTTCCAAACGGTGCACTCGAGCAAGCGCTTGAAGAGAAGCGAACGGACAGCGCGATGCGTCATGGGATATCCGGCGCAAACAAAAACAGAAAAAAAACGATTCCCCGCCAACGAGGTAGAGGGGCTCAGAGCGATAAACCGGGGTTCCGGTCTGCACTCGAAAGTGACCCCCATAAGGCGGCTGCCATTGTACGCAAATTTGACCACACGTCACATGACCAAACCAAATACGTGACGTCACAGGAAAGATGGCAGCGCCCATGCAGCGGCTGGCCCCAGCTGGGCCGGAGCTTGTCGGATGCTTTGTTGGTTGTCGTTCGTCTCGGCGAGTTGATTTCAGACGCGGAAGCCGTCATATGAAGCCGGTCGAAAGCGAGTTCAGAGCTCAGCGTGGTGTTTGACGTAGGTATAACGTGAAAATACGGAGGAACGGTGTGCATTTCGCTGGTGACCGACCGGGATATTGCCACGGAAGAGTCAACCTGACCTACGTTGCTCAGACCTCGGATTGATTCGGATACCGCTAGGATAAAATTTAAGGCGACATTTCTGTGCTCTCGTTGACCATCGGAATCTTCGATGTTTGCAGTGAAGCGTGAGCAATATATTTGGAAACACAGTTTAGCGATGGAAATTGCGTGAGTCGTGCTTGGCGGTGTGCAATCGTGGTGCAGCTTCGATCAAATGACCGAGGGCTCACTTCGGTTGTGCGGCGCACCGGAAGGCTGCCTTGAAGCTGGTAGTTCCCGTGCCGTGCTGAATGATGCTGTGCTGCTTACAAATTGTTCCGGCGTAGAAGTGCACTTTCACGGAGCACAGGTGTGCGGCGCACCGAAGAGCTGCCTTCAAGCTGGTAGTTCCTGTGCCATGCTTTAGGTGATACTGTGCTGCTTCCGAAATTGTTCCGGCGTTGACGTGCACTTTCACGGAGCACAGGTGTTGCAGTTATTATTGATCCCGCTGGTCTGTCGCACGTTTCGTCAACACAAACGTTTCATCCACACTCGTTACGCGAATTGCAAGCTGTCCGGACATTTCATCGAGCGTGTTACGTACCCAGCTCACGCCGCTTTGTGGCAACAGTCTGCAGTGGCTCATTACCAGAAAAGTGGTCCCACATCCATTTCAGTTCAGTTCGTCCACGGCAGTCGCCAAACCCCAAAGGAGAGGATTTATTCGGACAGAATGCCACTAAAGCAATGCAGCTTCTTCAGTGGTCAGGATAGATTCTCTTCTGCGAGTTTTGTTATACTGTCACGGATCCTTGTTCCGGTCCTATCTTCTATCAATATTCACTATTCTGGGACACTGCAGGTCATGCTCAGCTGTAATCGCATGTTCTGGTGGAGGTGCTGGGCACCCATAGCCCTTCACTCTGTGTGAACCCGGCGGCTCTTCAGCCGAGTTACTCGATAATGGGACACGGCTGGCGGACTATCCTGCGTCTTATACCCCCGTCGAGCCGTAAGCAAAGTCCTGACCCGAGCCTGGCAGAACAGCCGCAAGACGACCGAATACCACAAGGAGTAACCTCGGAAATACACCACGAAGCACCTGAAATCCGAGCCAGTTGCTGCTACCAGGAAAAACCACCGGAATTCGGTCTCCTGTCAGAAAATCCGAAGCTGACTAAGCCAACAATGACAAACCTGTAGCAGCAAACCGTGTCCCCTCCCACCATTGTTTGCATGCCCGTCGCAAATCACACTCCGACGCTTTTTCACGCAAGCTGTATGAAGACGTCAAGGACTGGATTGAACAATATGACAGTGTCGCCCGCCACATTGGGTGGACAGACAACTAGCTCCTGCAGAACCTATACTTCTCGTGGAAGAAACTGCCGGCGCTGGTCTGAGAACCATGGATCCTCCTTAACGTCATGGGAAGTTTGCAAGATCGAGCTGAAGCGCGCATTCGTCAGCCACCATCAACGAGAGAGAGCCGCATTCTTGATTCTGTCCAGGACACTGCCCCAACGAGAGCGCCACCGCACTCGTGGAGGATGTTTTGCGCTTGATCGAGCGCCCACGCCCACGCCGACCTTGAGGCTACAGAAGACAAGAACCTAAGAATCCCATGCCCCTCACGTGAGGGACAACACCTTCGGCAGCCTTGTCCGCAACCCCCAACAACAGTCGAAGTGTTCATATCACCGAGGCTTCCAACATGGAATGTGCACTGCATGCCCGAGCCTGCCACTATCAACAACTTCCCGGCGTCTCGACACTCGAGTTGTCCAGCTACTACTTCGACGCCAGCCTCCCAGGCATCCACGACATCATCCACGACGTTGTCTGGGAGGAGATCAGGAAGCTACTTTCTGCCATCAGTTGCCCGGCTTTTATTTTGATTGCCGAGATTGTTTTGGAACAAGTTTGACAGGTATTTCAACCGAGACTTCTGCGAGCGAAGCGGCATCTGACAAACCAAGGGCAACTTACGCCACAATGGCACGACGACCGCCACCGGCTGCCCCTTAGTATTCAATGCCAATTCAATGAGACACTCTGACGCCGAAGCATTCCCGACATCGTGTGTAGGTCTGTGCTCAACAAAGTACACCGAGGAAAACGTAGGTGATGCGAATGTGCGACCGAAAACCACTTTGCTACCAGTGCATGAAACCGACCTTGTCTACCAAAGCAGCCCGTACCAATGAATTGGTCTGCGAGGGTTCGTGCCAAACGACCCTCGATTACGTCTCGAGGAGCGACCACGGGAGATTAAGAATTACCTTCGGCGACCTTTGTCCCCGATGCCGAAGGTGCTGAATCGAAGATTCTGAATCCCTGATTACCCCGAAGCTCCTCATGTCCATCACCTCAACAAGAGGTAAGCACGACAAAGCAGGTGAGCGGCGATGCAGTGACAGTGGATTTGGTGTCGGTTGTCGTCCAAGGACAATACCTAAAAATTTGCTGACATCAATTTTCTGTGTCCACTCCACGAAGCACACAATTTCCAACTTTGAGGGAGAATGCCCCTGAGTGACTTGAAGGAATAGAAGGGTTGGTTGCTCTCAAAGGTGAACTGCAAGCATCACCAGACTTGGATAGCAAACAAAAATTGTTGCCAGCTGTCAACGGTACAGCAAAAGGCACAGCCACGTAAGCAATACATGCCCGAGCTTGCTGCATTGATGACGAAAACTACCAGGAAAATTTTCGGATTAGAAGCCAGCCCTGCAGCTTCAGTGCATCAGACGTCAGTGGCCGCACATGACGTATGATTACAAGACAGCATCAGTCGGTCAAAGTTGCCACTCGACCAAACTGAACACCGACGTGCCAGGAGCGTCATCCGACAACAAGGTCCACAGGTACTACGACTGAACGCCTGACACGAGACTGTCACAAAAAGAACTCGTTATGGAACCATTTCCTAAGAATCAATAATTATGTAATCAAGTGGAAATAAACATATTTGATACACTAACCAGATAAACATATGTCCGCTTGCCTTCATGCCTTGAGAGTCTACACACCGAGAATTGTGTCCACTGCACGCTCTGGACCTTACGAGGACACTCGCATCTCTGACCCTTCAATATTAATTAAAGGGTCATACCAGACTGGCGAACTTCTTGCAAGGGGCTGCACTCGTTCAACATTTCCTGAACATGTGGTGCATTCGAAAACCAACTCCAGTGATCTGAAAATGTTATTTATTAGTTTATTCCTTCCAGGAGCCTTCGTAGGCATTGCAGAGAGGATACTTAAAACTACACACATGATAATAGCATTAAAGCACACTGCTGTAACTTGTTAATTGGAAAAACAAACACACCTCTGAGCATATAGTTTAATAGTATGTGTTGATGCATTGTTATACAGCATGACACTTCCTATATGTATGACACAATAGACCCTTTGCAGAACCTTATCAAGCAACACAACTGTCACCATTTTTTTTCGGCGTAAAGCACACGAATGGGCCCCCGTTCACGTTGAATGCGAATGCAGCATTCGAGTCCAATACGTGCTGAGCCGAATTCACAGGGATGGCGGACATAACATTCTTGTCGAACAAATGCCCAAAGTCTGAAAGCCTGGGGTAATTACAGTAGTAGCTACTGTAATTTGTTTCATCGGAATTTGGCAGACGGCAAAGGCCTCGGTGAGTCAATACACACATTGGAGAGAGGCACATTACAACATATCACCAGAGTGCTCGTCTGCACAGATTTGTCACACACCTTCGCTCCGTCTCTCTGATTGGCTCGAGGGGGCTGTGGCGGTTGGCCTTTTCCAAGTTACGGTGATGCGAAGTATAGACAGCCCACACTTTTAAAAAGAGTCTATTGAAGAGACCGAAAGGAATGGTAGTCAACATTTTTCAACAAGACTGCTCTTCAGGCAAGGGATGAACACAAATATGAATCATCTTATCCAGGTAATTAGAACAATTAAATAATTGACAGACTAATACAATGCACTCTTGATGAAAAAGAGTATAGCTGCAATAAATCCTACAAAACAGAAAAAATGCGCAGTTAATCGATGCATGCACCAAAACAGTTGTTCTTATAGCAAGTCGAATAGCTTTGAAGCAGGTGCCTGCAACGATTTATTCTTCCCCATACTCAATAAAACGCCATCCTCGTAGCTAAAAATAAGGGTGCACTTCGCACTCACACACACACAA